CCATAGCCGTCTTTCAAAGCCGAAACAAACCCCTAACAAGGAACAAAAAATCACGCATTTAATGTATCCCTATCACAACACTGAATGAAGCCATAGCCGTCTTTCAAAGCCGAAACAAACTCCTAACAAGGAACAAAAAATTATGCATTTAATGTATCCCTATCACAACACTGAATGAAGCCATAGCCGTCTTTCAAAGCCGAAACAAACTCCTAACAAGGAACAAAAATTATGCATTTAATGTATCCCTATCACAACACTGAATGAAGCCATAGCCGTCTTTCAAAGCCGAAACAAACTCCTAACAAGGAACAAAAAATATGCATTTAATGTATCCCTATCACAACACTGAATGAAGCCATAGCCGTCTTTCAAAGCCGAAACAAACCCTAACAAGGAACAAAAATTATGCATTTAATGTATCCCTATCACAACACTGAATGAAGCCATAGCCGTCTTTCAAAGCCGAAACAAACTCTAACAAGGAACAAAAATTATGCATTTAATGTATCCCTATCACAACACTGAATGAAGCCATAGCCGTCTTTCAAAGCCGAAACAAACCCCTAACAAGGAACAAAAAATCATGCATTTAATCACATTACACCAACAATAATTTTAACATAGATCTTTAAGAAGGAAACGAGTTTAAGTCGATTCTGTGCACTATAGTTATACATCGACATTCATAAAATAAAATGCTCAATGCCAATGCCCATGGAGCACAATGTTAGCGTTGTCGAAAATAAAAGATTTCCCAACAAAATACGAGAGATTGAAGACAGTAAAATACTTTGGACAAACCTTTATTTTCAACGATACATTGTGAAAATTTGAATGCTTCGAGAGCAAGTATACCTTTTTTAGGGAGGTACAACTTGAGGGGGAGTAAATTTTTTTGAAGGGGGTGGGTGGATAAAATACTCATAGACGAGGAGGGGTAAAGGTCAAACCATAACTCAAAGCAATTAACATTTGCCATCACAGTGATAAAGGTAAACAATTTCCCGCTAAATTTGGAGAAATGGCTTCCTCATGACGCAGTCTAAACACTAGCAAATGTAAAGGAGAATTAAAACTTACTCTTTCTCTGACATTGCATCCATTGCTGCTTTCCACTTCCTTGATGAGATGAATTTCCGTTGCTCTTCTTAAAGAATCACGCCGATCTGCACGAAAAGAAGAGAGATGTATCGCTTGACTGAGTGGCTAAAAGATGGAAGCGTGCTTTATATTCCCGATATCACGGGGAAAATTTGTTAATTTCTTTCATTGTATGGACATGTTGCCATATCCAACTGGAAACACTCAAAGGAAAACTATAGTTTGAAAGCTTGGTTATTCTGTAAGGTACATACACGTTTGGTATTTTCTTCAAATGTTCAGACATGCACGTTAAACAAGACACCAAAACATTCAATCAACAATAAGGAGGACAACGAACTAGTTTAAAACAAAATGTTACGTCTAAACATGGTAATGTCTAAGCAAAGGAAGACTAGTTGAAGTTTTAAAGAATTGTCGATGGAGCACCCATTGATACAGTAACAAAGTTATTTTTAACTAAGATTAGATATGAGGCTGAAGTAGGGAGTAAAGTAAAACTTCGCATATAAGAGCCTAGATTTTAACAACCAATTAGGCTAATATTTCAGAAGGAAACTTAAACTGATCTAACTTTATTTATACTAGATATCTCTATCAGTTCTGAACAGTTCTTACTGTAAAGATCATCTCTTATTGATCCAGTGTTACTACAGAAAGAGACCTAAACTAAACTAACTTTCTTTAGACTAAATATCTCTATCAGTTCTAAACTTTTCTTTCTAATGATCCAGTAAAGATCATATCTTATTGATCCAGTGTTACTACTAAAGGAAACCTAAACTAAATTAACTTTATTTTTACTAAATATCTCTATCAGTCCTAAACATTTCTTTCTTATGATCCTGTTAAGATCATATCTTGTTGATCCAGTGTTACCACAGAAACAAACCTGAACTAAACCAAGTTTATTTATGTTAGATATCTCTACCAGTTCTAAACTCTTCTTCCTAAAGATCCAGTAAAGATAAGCTCTTATTGATCCAGTGTTACTACAGAAGGAAACCTAAACTAAACTAACTTAGTAATTTAATATTTATATTTTGTGTACGATTCCCGCCTGGTTTATCGATCGTAACTTAATCTATATATACTAGATATCTCGATCAGTCTTAAACTGTTCTTTGCCTAGATCAACAAAATCATCTCTCATTGATCTTGCACATGTTGAAATAATACCAACAGTTACAACAAACCATATTTACCTGTAGCAATTTTAAAACCAACAACATCCCAAGTCAAGACGGTGAACTCCCCCAAGACATCTTTCTCCCAATATGGCAGCTGTGAACTACCATTGCTTGTGTTGTACAATATCACACCATTTAACGGTTCCTGTCTTTTGTCCGACAATGTACTTTCTCGATGGTGCCTTGAAATGTGTCTTTGCTCACATCATCAAATTTCACTGTACCTTCTGGTAGACGCTCCACTGAGACTGCAACTTCTTTACCTGACAAAATAATTGGCCAAGTTTTACAAACAAATTTTACGAATTTCCAAAAATAAACTTGTTGCTGTCGTCAGCTATCACAAAAATACGTCAGTTGAGTCACGTGACTCGTTTGCAAACCGAAAATTTTCAATCCTACGTCAAATGCCAATCAGAAGTCATCGTGTGTAAAATAAATTACAAATGATCAAATCGTATACATAAGTGAAATAACTGATAAAACTCATTTTGTATTAAACAATAAATTATCAATACTGATCTACAGGGAGCAACTGCAACGGCCCAAACACAAACCTCGTTCACTTTGTCAGCTCTGTCGATGAAACCAAACGATTCCTTGAGCGAGCAGACAATTCCTTGAACGTAAACAGGAGGCAAAGCTTCGAGCAGCAACAACTCCACGGCACAGCATTGTCCATTTCTATAGAGGTTTATGAACTGTAGCAGTGCATCAAACAAACAACAATTTGGACATGGCTCGTAAATTGGACATGGTTCGTGTAAATAATAAACTAACGTTCATGTTATAAGCGTTAACCAAAGCGTTTTCTTGTGTAAGGTAGCATATCAAAACGTAGAAATAAGGAGAAAGACTTCACCAAAATAGAAAGAACATTCTTAAGACTGTGCATTCATTGCTTAACCACGTAATGTAATGCACGCGATGAAGCACGTGATACAATCTAGAGAAACAGTACAAGCTTTCGACGCAATAGCAAAGAATATAATTTACCTTTTGCTTTCCAGGATGTAAAAAGACACAATATCACCTTTGTAGATGTGAGACTTTGATAAAACACCAGCTTGATAATGTGGAAGAAAAAACAATTCCTGAAAGAAAAGGAGCAACGGTTAGAATCATAAAGATCCACCCCCTAACCGTGCAGACCTGTAATATGCAATGAACTTAAACTCCACCCCTGATCATGCAGACGTTTACTATGCAATGATTTTAAGCACCACTCCCCTGACTGTGCAGACCTGTATAATGCAATGATTTTAAACACCCCCCTGACCGTGCAAACCTGTATTATGCAATGATTTTAAACACCACCCCTGACCGTGCAGACCTGTACTATGCAATGATTTTAAACATCACCCCCTGACCGTGCAGACCTGTATTATGCAATGATTTTAAACATCACCCCCTGACCGTGCAGACCTGTATTATGCAATGATTTTAAACACCAACCCTGACCGTGCAAACCTGTATTATGCAATGATTTTAAACACCAACCCCTGACCGTGCAAACCTGTATTATGCAATGAGTTTAAACATCACCCCCTGACCGTGCAAACCTGCATTATGCAATGATTTTAAACACCAACCCCTGACCGTGCAAACCTGCATTATGCAATGATTTTAAACACCAACCCTGACCGTGCAAACCTGTATTATGCAATGAGTTTAAACATCACCCCTGACCGTGCAAACCTGTATTATACAATGATTTTAAACACCACCCCCTGACCGTGCAAATCTGTATTATGCAATGATTTTAAACACCAACCCCTGACCGTGCAAACCTGCATTATGCAATGATTTTAAACACCAACCCCTGACCGTGCAAACCTGCTACAAAAATAATGATGAAACTCTTTGAAAACGACATCACAAACATTCAAAGTACAATAAAACAACAGCAATACGCAACTCAAAAAATTCATACACGACCATTAACAACGAGTAATTTTAAAGCAATATGCATAATGAACAGTGGTGTAGCGAGCACGATAACTGGGGAGGGTGAGCACATCTATATATTCCACATATGCATGTCCTGCCGTATTGAGTTCCATTGTGTTCCATGCATAAAGACGTGCATAGATGAATTTGTTATCTACCCACCCTCCCCATCCCTTAATTAACGCGTTTGCTTCGCCACTGACTATTACATTTTCCCAGCTAATTGATCACGATGAAAATCACCTGTTTGGGGTAGCTGTGTCTCGACAACCTCGCCTCAACTTCCACTTTACCAACAACTCTTTCCTCGCTTTTTCCTACAAAGGAAACATAAATGGATGATTCACCAAAGACGATTTCTCAATTTCTCGTAAAACTTTGTAAACCAAACCAGGATGAACGTGCATACACGGCAAGCGTCAAAAAGTACACAAGGTGTCAAGGTCACTTACTTCAAATGTAACAGAGCCTTGTTCCAATTTCACCACTCGACATGCAATTGGTTTACCCTTACGAGAATCTGATGTCACTTCAAACTCCACACAGTCTAAACAAAAAAAGATTTAATCGACTATCAATATCAATCGAAATGTTCTTTACACTTCAGATAATAGACCAGAGCAGTGGCCTTTGCAGTAGCAGTAGAAACAAGGGGATAGGCGGGGTGGGGCGGATGGTGAAGGATTACAGTGTGAAACTCCCATACAAGTCAATGATCAGTGGTTTGTTCTGACTAGGTAAATAAACAAAAGTTCTGTTTCGTTTTACCCCACAATAAAACAAAGACTATACATGAGTTTGAAAAGTTGTTTTAACTAACACTAACATTTGGACACACATTTTTTGCAGACAGAGTCCTTCAGAATACCCATCACATTCACATTAAAAAGACAGAGCAGTGCAAGTTAGAATAGCAAAGAACACCCTCATACAACATCGTGAAGGCACGTGAATGCCACGTGTTGATAACATGAACTGTGGTGGGATTCAGATGGTGGAGATCAAATTTTAAAAGTATACCAACAAAGGCATGCCCTGGAATCTCCATAGAAATCTCATGCCTTGAGGATGAGCTTCCCTCTCCCAATATGTCATAAAGTGTCACCACTGATTATGGTAGGGAGTGAAAAGTCATATGAGGAAACCCAATGAATTACTTGACAAAGAATGCTTTTCAAATAATGACTGATGAAACAAATGCTCTGAATAACTGGATAAGCCATCAAAAACAGCTTGTTCCCCTTATTAAATAGCAGAAAGGCAACAAGCCTCATACTTGAATGAAATTATATCAACGTTTCAGAAAAACAATATAATACTAATGGTGTAGTTGCACACATAACAAGTAATATAAGAGTCGTTGAAGGGTGAAAATAAGCAAAATTTACAAACCACCAAGTTACAGTTCACTTGAATGTCCTTTGTACTGACTGTAATGAAAGAACACTCGAAGATCCTGTTCAGCACACTCAATAAAGCCATATCTTTGCTGCAAAAAAACATGCATAAATGTTATAGAAGAAAGACTGAATGTGCTTTTAGAGGGGATGAACTTAGGGAATATATATCAATAACATTATGGAAGATGTCATTAATACACATGTTGATGTCAAAGCACTCATTGCTGGTCAAATGTAGTACAATACAGTCAAATGTAGATGAATGTATTCAAATGTGGTTGAATGTACACAAAAGTAGATGAATGTATTCAAATGTACATGAATGTATTAAAATGTGGTTGAATGTACACAAAAGTAGATGAATGTATTCAAATGTACATGAATGTATTCAAATGTGGTTTAATGTACACAAAAGTAGATGAATGTATTCAAATTTAGATGAATGTATACAAAAGTGGTTGAATGAATTCAAATGTGGTTTAATGTCCTCAAACAGGGTGCAAATTAATATTACACAAATGGGCATGTGAATTTCAGTTGAAGGTATTTTCACAATCTTAGGTTAAAAATTGATACAATATCTGTCATGTTGGATTTAAGTGCCTATGTCGAATAATGGGACTTGATATCATTAGAATTATCTTAAAACATAGATTACTGGGGCAAACAGTCCAAATGCAAGTTTCGATAGAAAGCTTTTCAAATTGACCAGAACAAAAAATAAGACACCAAACAGTGCAAAACTGTTACAGCTTCCTCTACAAAGGCTATTGAAATCAAAAACATTTTTGGCAAACTTTTAGATATCATGCAAATGCACTTTTAGATGAACAAAGTGACATATTTTTTGTGTATTAAGAAACAAGTTTTTTGGTCATAGATAAATTTTTTACTTCTTCATGGTACATCTTATTTTTATCTTGCAGGAACTTACTCTACAAAAGCAACACCTTTGTAAAAACAGCAGAGTCTGCAGCAAACTTTTGCATTTCTCCATGTCACAAAATGATCCATGAAAAAATTTCAAAAAAAGTCAAGAAGCATTTTTTTGCAGTAATTTGGGTCCTTGACCAGTGCATAAAAACTCCATACCAAACTGACTTTGAATTGTTAAAATAACTTACACAAAGTTTTTCAATGACACCTGTTTCCCTGTGTAATACATGAACACCATTTGAAAGGTAATGGTCACTGATACCATAGTCCTGAGACCCATTTGTTCACATAGAATGTTTCTAAGTAGTAAAAAAACATTATAGAATGTTTCTAATTAGTAAGAAACATCATAGAATGTTTCTAATTAGAAGGAAAACATCATAGAATGTTTCTAATTAGTAAGAAAACATTATAGAATGTTTCTAATTAGTAGGAAAACATTATAGAATGTTTTTAATTAGAAGGAAAACATTATAGAATGTTTCTAATTAGTAAGAAACTTCATAGAATGTTTCTAATTAGTAGGAAAACATTATAGAATGTTTCTAAATGGTAAGAAAACATTATAGAATGTTTCTAATTAGTAGGAAACATTATAGAATGTTTCTAAGTAGTAAGAAACATAGAATGTTTCTAAGTAGTAAAAAAACATTATAGAATGTTTCTAATTAGTAAGAAACATCATAGAATGTTTCTAATTAGAAGGAAACATCATAGAATGTTTCTAATTAGTAAGAAAACATTATAGAATGTTTCTAATTAGTAAGAAAACATTATAGAATGTTTTTAATTAGAAGGAAAACATTATAGAATGTTTCTAATTAGTAAGAAACTTCATAGAATGTTTCTAATTAGTAGGAAAACATTATAGAATGTTTCTCATTAGTAGAAAAACATTATAGAATGTTTCTAATTAGTATGAAAACATTATAGAATGTTTCTAATTAGTAGGAAAACATTATAAAATGTTTCTAAGTAGTAAGAAAACATTATAGAATGTTTCTAATTAGTAGGAAAACATCATAGAATGTTTCTAAGTAGTAAGAAAACATTATAGAATGTTTCTAATTAGTATGAAAACATTATAGAATGTTTCTAATTAGTAGGAAAACATTATAAAATGTTTCTAAGTAGTAAGAAAACATTATAGAATGTTTCTAATTAGTATGAAAACATTATAGAATGTTTCTAATTAGTAGGAAAACATTATAAAATGTTTCTAAGTAGTAAGAAAACATTATAGAATGTTTCTAATTAGTAGGAAAACATCATAGAATGTTTCTAAGCAGTAAGAAAACGTTATAGAATGTTTCTAATTAGTAGGAAAACATTATAGAATGTTTCTCATTAGTATGAAAACATTATAGAATGTTTCTAATTAGTATGAAAACATTATAGAATGTTTCTAATTAGTAGGAAAACATTATAGAATGTTTCTAATTTGTAAGAAAAGGTTATAAAATGTTTCTAATTAGTAAGAAAACATTAACAGCAAAATGAAATGAAAATAAAATTTTTCATAAACAAAATGCAGTAGAAAGTACCTTCCATGAGTCTGTTGCCATATTTGATTCACCAAAAAGAGAATTCTATTTGTTACAAAGGATGCCAGCAATTTGAATTATAACTTTTTGCAAAATAATATATATGGTATATGTATAAAAATTCTCCTCTTAATTTTCCTAAATCACCAAATAATATAATCCATTTGCCGAACAAAAACAGGAGGCACAAATCTGCTGTGAATATTTAAGATTGTTCCGTGTAAGCTATGACTTGCCAATATGAAAGTTTCCTTAACATGGTCTGTGCAAGATGATATGGATTTGGCAGCTTTCTCTATAGAATTTGAATTGGCGTTTCCTATCTTTTTCTGCTTTGCAGACATTTATTCCTAGCAAATAACCAGAAAAAAGTAATTTAACACATTTCTTCAAATATATCATTTGCTCATCATCTAATAACATGGGACATTCAATTACATGTTTTGACTTATCAATAGTGCTGTAGAATACTTATCATCAAGAGCAGCAGTTAACAATCAATAGCACAACATGTATATACATACTTTGTAAGAAAAGAGAAGTGCAGTGTTGCGATTGCAACAGACGATGCGCAACAGTTTATACCTGTTACAACACACTATCTGTTGCACAACACATACATTTGTTTATTTAAATGTCTTCTTATCCAAATGATTCAAACTTTTCTTGAATTGAATGCGCATTAATGCAACTTGAATATTAACAATTGCTAAGCAGTATAAATAAATGCTATTGTCTACTGGAGCTCTTGATTCTTCCTTCAAGTTAATGAACATTCTACTGTTCTACTGTTAAGTAAAATAGCATAATTGAATGTTCAATCTTCTTTAATAATGAGCGAATGGTGTAGCAGGAGTAACAAGTGACAAATCCCACAAAATACTTTACAATAGTGAATAGTACGGAATGAAGACACTGCACTGGATTTCTTGTGATAAAGACTTTAATTTTTATATACAGCAACATAGCTATTGTAATTATACATAAGATCAATCTACACTAAAACTGGAACAGATAAGGACATAAGTTTCGACATCAAATCAATTTCCACAAGACACTAAACACCAGACAAAAAATATGTTAAAACTTTCAACATGAATCACATCAGATAAAAGCGACTCATAATTTTGAAGTCAAACATACAAATATCATGTCCATATAAATCAGACAAAAGACACGCTTTTATTTGTATCTTTAAAAGAGTCGAGGCACATCTAAAGTTCTTTTTCAATTTGGAAATTCAATGCTGAAATTCACTTCTTGAAGACATCAAATATCAAACGAAAACTTTTCATCAGAATATCAAATTGCTTGTCAGTCTTTGTTTCTTAATTTATTTCAATAATGGTCATTTGAAGAAACTGTAGCGTATAGTTTTAATTAAATTGGTGCCGCAAAAGCAAAAAACAAAAGGAAGAATACGAATAGCACACAAATACAGGCATGGAGAATATTTTGCCGTCTGCTGAGTCTTTGTTAATCGGCTTTGTCTCGAAACATGGTGACTAATGATTGTCAATTTAAAAGGTCAAATTAACGCCAACGGAGTACAAGGTGAACAAAAATGTAATGAAATATTTAAGAACTGACAATTGATATTGAAAAAGAAATCAATACCTTTTTGAGGACAAAATTTCGTCCGTAACCACAACACTATTCAAATTTTTTCAATCCGCCATATTACATGATATCAAATTAAACGAAGATATGATCTTCGCACTTTGCTGGACAATTTAATATGGCAAGCCATTTCGGAAAAAAGGTGGTCGAGAAAAAAGTCTCCGTTGAGAAAGCAAACCGATGTTGAGAAACACGTGTTTATCATTGAGAATTTGCAGATGGTAGTTCAGAAAAGCAAATATCCCGGTCGAGAAAAAAATCCCAGTCGAGAAAAAAATCCCGGTCGAGAAAAAAATCCCGGTCGAGAAAAAAATCCCGGTCGAGAAATAAAATCTCTGTCGAGAAAAAAATCTCGGTCGAGAAAAAAAATCTCTGTCGAGAAAAAAATCCCGGTCGAGAAAAAAATCCTGGTCGAGAACCAGTGCACGCACTACCTAAAGATTGGACATGAGGCAGACGAGGGCTGTCCATTGAGCTCTAAAAGACCTGGAGGGGCAAAGGGGCCTGGACCCCGTGGTCAAAAACATGGCGGTAATGGCGGATTTTGGTTGTCAAAACTTCCACTTTGAGAAAAATTTTTAACATTCGCCCCCTCCCGAATCCTGATCTCTATTCCTGCTTATATTACGACAACCAGCGAAAACAACCACGATACCGTAAACATAAAATATTGAAAATCACGCTTCAGATTTTTGTGAAATAGACACACACATTTAAATGAGGTAAATCTACTGTAAAATAACGTATATTTTGTCAAGTAATGCTTTAGCTATATTAGAAATAAATATCAAACGGCAATCTTTACACTGTCAATGTGTTGTTAAGCTTTAATGCATAATCCCATGCGCATTACTTGTGTTTTTGACTGTTTGTGAACAGCTTGGTACAACTGTCTTTCTTGAATAGATGGGTAAATCTTAGTTAAAATGTCCAAAAAGGAGTTAGAAAAAGTTAGCTTACCCCTACGACTTAAGTCGACTGGAAATATATTATAATTAGGTATGTAATTTTTTTGAGTTTTTTTTGGTAGGATTGATTCTGGGTGTCTTATAAAGTATTATGATATTCTGATAAATCTACTGAGAACTTATGAGGAAAATATCTTGAACTAGGAGAGCAAAAGAACGAAATTCAGAAATTCTATAATCATGTTGCTGGTTCTGTTTTGAGCCAAGATATTAGAAACTGGATTGTCATTGACAACCATGGATCTACTACTGTACAGAACTACATTAATTTCCCATTGAAAATACTATTTCTTAAATTAAAGTGCATTGGTTTCTCTGACATAACACTTTTCTTATTGCTGCATGAAGGCAAACCTGTTTAAATAATAATAATGTAGGTGAAGATTTTTAGCATGTTGTATAATTGTTATTGTACAGTCATTATTTATAATATTATGGCCTTGTGTAATGTATGTCAAGAAGAACATATTAATTCTCAAAAATGCTAACCTTCTTGCACTACTTTTCTCTTGTGTCCTTACAAATTACAGTTACCTATACTAATTTTTTCTAGGTTCAAACAACTTGACAAACTTTTGAATTTTACATTATGCCTTTGAATTTTTCTTTTTGTCTTTTGGTAAAAATATCAGTGAATGACTTAAAAATCAAGTTTATCTAAAATAGTATTTTGTACAAAGTAACTATACATAATTGGAAAAGTCTCATGTTGAAGGCAGATGTGGTTTCTTTTACTAGATTGCTACTCTTATTCTTTTAAATGATATTGTAATTCTTCAAAAGACATAAAAAGTTCTTTGCCATCAATTTTTGCTTCTTCCACATTCAACTTCATTGCAACCGATGCATCTTATGTGAATTTTTAATCACCTGGAATTGAAAAACGTATGGATTTTGTCAGATGATGCAGTACTGTATTTAATGTTTCATGCATGTCATGATAAGCTTTTCTTGAGCAAATATTTCAAGGTAGGAGCAAAATTTGGCACATTATTGAACAAAGTAGTTTTTATCTTGATTTTGATGTACTAACCTGTTTACTACACTATGTAACAAACAATTCATTTACAGAAACACCAGATGGCATTTATAAAACTTTTAGCATAAAGCAAAACTTTACACACCATCATTATGATTGTCCATAATCTGTCAAATTGTCCAGGCTAGCTGTTTAATACAGGTATTTTTTATTGTACGACATGTACCAAAGAGCTCACTAATTAATCCTGCACTGCATTTGATTTCAATACAGCTCTGTCCTTAATATTTGCTTCATATTTTCAGAAAAATATGAAAAAATCCTCCATTTCAACTCAGTTGAAACAAGGAGTTTCAACTGGTTGCTTTGCCTCGTCTAGCAAGCGATTAAGTAAAGAAGAAATAAGACTGGATAAACATAACTTAAATTATAACTTAGGAGTAAAAACATTCACAAAATATAAGCCATCACACTTCAAGTATTGACTTAAAACAAAACACTGAACACTTTAAATAGTAAACAATCTTACGTTGCTTAACGGTGTCATGAAATGTTTCCTTTTCTGGCATTACTTCAGCATCCGTATACCAAACAAGTTTGCAGCATGTTTTAAAGATAAAATTTCTAACAGTTTTTGTGCTTGGCATTGATATTTTATATAATCGCAATTGTGGTTGTCAAATCCGGGTGGGCGACAAAAATTTCATTTCATGAGCCCGCGTCTTTCCGCTGACTTTGACAACCAAAATCCACTTAAATGACAAAAAAGACAAACACTGTCTTTTTTGTTTTCCGTTTGAAAGTTTACCTTCCGACGAAAGAAAAATTTATGCTTGAATATTTTTTCGTCATATTTTCTATTGTATTGTCTTTTTAGCAAACAGTGTAATTTTCAGTTGGCTTTTCCTCGTTACAAGTTGTAAGTTAAAACGAACTCACTGTAGTAAAGTTTCAGCTGTAAAAAATAACCTTTTGCGAAGAGTTGGCCTCGTGTGTTGTTTGTCGTGATGTTGTTTATATGTTTATGCTTTTGCAATTTGTATTCAAATTTATATTGGCCGTGTATGTTTGGCACTCAGGGGAATGAAACTGACGTACAAACCGCGTGAATATTCGACTTTGAAGGACTGGAACTGACGTATAAACCGCGCAAGAGACTAGGACTTTGGCTTCAATTTTATATCTATAAAATGTATTGTCGTTATCATTCCAGATATATATATATGGAGTTCACTGGATAATAATTTATAGTAATTTTGTTGACGTTTCCCCTCCAGGTCTTATAGAACTCAATGGGGCTGTCATGTAGCACTCAATGAACTCCATAACAACTGGAAGGCTAACTTGGACGCCATCTTTGAAGCCTGCATGAGCGCCGCCATTGAGGGTACGGAGGCGAGATACATCACTTCGAAATTGCCGGGGTTTTTGCAAAAAATAGTTGTCTTCGAGCCAGCTTCATGTCTAAAAACCTTAAACAATGTTTGGACTTTAATATAAAACAAGTTTGAACGACATTTGTACATGTTTAAGCTTCTATTTAGAAGGATGAAAAGCGAACTTTGTTTTGGCACGTGAAAACATGCCTTATAACTTGAATACAAAACTGACACCCCTCATTTATTTTCATGAAAAGGATGTAAAACACACTTGTCTATCCTTAAAATATAGTTTGAATCTTTGAAAATGAAGCTGTCAGGGCAAAAAACGCTGTTTTTCGGTAATTTTTGTGTTTCCGAGCAAAATTAGCTCGCCCCAGTCCTTTTTGAAAGTTCAGAGCATAAACAAAAAGAAAAACACTTTGCAAAATATTTCAAAAAGTTAGCAAAAAAATACTTTGAGTTTAAAAAAAACTGTTATGCCATATTATTGTGTTATCATTAATTGCACCATTAAAGAGTCAAAAGGGTCAATACTCACTTAAAAAAAAAGACAAAAACACAATTGACACTCTATATTCATAACTTTTGAAACACTTAAGTAAAATTGTAATAATACAAGTAAGAAAACGATTATTAGTCTAATATTATAGAATCATATATTTTCACAAATATGACCAAACATTTTAAATACACATCCTAAAATTTAATATATTACATATACATTTATCATCATCTGTATTACAAGAAAAAACTAATTTTACAATCAATATGATATACTATAAAATTTTGATACATGATATAGCTTTGCTTGCTTTATAATCATTTTAAAACCCTGTTTCAAACCACTGAGGATGAGGGTTGCTTTTGGCATTTATTTAGAGCAGGCTATATTAGCAATACTTCTCATAGTGTACACTTGGCTATTTATTTATAAGCATGAACTTGCTGATAAAATGCTCAATACACAAATATGGACGCATGTCAAATCTTCCACCAGTTCTTAAGAAGTGGGAGGAAGTAAATGACAAGAACCAACAATCACCCACAATTCAAAATTTCAAATCATCACTTTCACACATTGCAAAAAGAGCATGTGAAATTCTTAAAAGCAAGTCTAACTCTAAAAGCAATAAAATTGTCATGAAACATTTTATATTAAGTGGATTGTGTGTATTTTGCACAGCATTCAAAGATAGACTACTGTTATCAGTTTTATCTTAAATTTTGGTCTTTCGACGACAAATGAGAAATTCATATTTCAAAGCAAGTTCTCCTTTTATGTTTTATATAATACAGCGTTACGTATACAAAACATGTCTTGGAACGTCCACAATGCATCTTAACACATTAATAACCAAATTTTGCTAACGGTTTTGAAAAAAATAAAGCATTTAGGCTAGCATTATATTTCCAAGTTAGCAGTTTTTGCAAAACAATCCGTCACGCAAATAAAACAGTCCACGCGAGATGCACGCGAAGCGGCAAATCAGCTTCTATGTGGCTTCAAAAAAGTCTAGGTTTGTTTATAATGAGTTAGCCTTCCAGTTGTTGTAGAGTTCACTGTGTAGCACTGCATATTTGGTACTAATATGAGTTTGGCACTACTTTCAACAGCATAATCATCAGCACAATTCATCACCGCATTCAACTGAAATTTATTGATAAAAACAATAAAGCAATAAAGTCCTGTTGAGGGACTTACTCCCCTTTCTCTGCCTGGTCTATTTTGAATGATAAATTTTAGTTGAATATGATGATGATTATTGTGATGACTGTTGTGTTGAACGTGGTGCCCATATGTGGGTGCCCATCGTGGTGCCAAATTCACAGTAGCTAGTTTGTCACCAAACGCATTTCTCACATGCATCTCTACTTCATATCCCTTCCATTCTTTCATCAGCTGGAAGCCTAAAATAATATGACCATTTTCCATTAGATTGACTCTTGCGCTTTGGCGGGGGACAACGTTTACATTTGGCCCTGACAAAAGGAACTACCGTGAAATTGGCACCACATTGGGCACAACCATTGAGTTCTATAAGACCTGGAGGGGAAACGTCAACAAAATTAGTATAAATTATTAGCGCGCGGCCGCGTGGTCAAAAACATGGCGGATTTTGGTTGTCAAAGTCAGCGGAAAGACGCGGGCTCATAAAATGAAATTTTTTTCGCCCACCCGGATTTGACAACCACAATTGCGATTATAGAAAATATCAATGCCAAGCACAAAAACTTTTAGAAATTTTATCTTTAAAACATGCTGCAAACTTGTTTGGTATACGGATGCTGAAGTAATGCCAGAAAAGGAAACATTTCATGACACCGGTAAGCAACGTAAGATTGTTTACTATTTAAAGTGTTCAGTGTTTTGTTTTAAGTCAATACTTGAAGTGTGATGGCATATATTTTGTGAATGTTTTACTCCTAAGTTGTAATTTAAGTTATGTTTATCCAGTCTTATTTGTTCTTTACTTAATCGATTGCTAGACGAGGCAAAGCAACCAGTTCTTATCGAGATATGCATATCTTAAAACTCCTTGTTTCAACTGAGTTGAAATGGAGGATTTTTTCATATTTTTCTGAAAATATGAAGCAAATATTAAGGACAGAGCTGTATTGAAATCAAATGCAGTGCAGGATTAATTAATGAGCTCTTTGGTACATGTCGTACAATAAAAATTACCTGTATTAAACAGCTAGCCTGGACAATTTGACAGATTTGGACAAGCATGATGATGGTGTGTAAAGGTTTGCTTTATGCTAAAAGTTTTATAAATGCCATCTGGTGTTTCTGTAAATGAATTGTTTGTTACACAGTGTAGTAAACAGGTTAGTACATCAAAATCAAGATAAAACTACTTTGTTCAATAATGTGCCAAATTTTGCTCCTACCTTGAAATATTTGCTCAAGAAAAGCTTATCATGACATGCATGAAACATTAAATACAGTACTGCATCATCTGACAAAATCCATACATTTTTCAATTCCAGGTGATTAAAATTCACATAAGATGCATTGGTTGCAATGAAGTTGAATGTGGAAGAAGCAAAATTGATGGCAAAGAACTTTTATGTCTTTTGAAGAATTACGATATCATTTAAAAGAATAAGAGTAGCAATCTAGTAAAAGAAGCCACATCTGCCTTCAACATGAGACTTTTCCAATTATGTATAGTTACTTTGTACAAAATACTATTTTAGATAAACTTGATTTTTAAGTCATTCACTGATATTTTTACCAAAAGACAAAAAGAAAAATTCAAAGGCATAATGTAAAATTCAAAAATTTGTCAAGTTGTTTGAACCTAGAAAAAATTAGTATAGGTAACTGTAATTTGTAAGGACACAAAAGAAAAGTAGTGCAGAAAGGTTAGCATTTTTGAGAATTAATAAGTTCTTGACATACATTCACAAGGCCATAATATTATAAATAATGTCTGTATAATAACAATTATACAACATGCTAAATATCTTCATCTACATTATAATTGTTTAAACAGGTTTGCCTTCATGCAGCAATAAGAAAAGTGTTATGTCAGAGAAACCAATGCACTTCGATTTAAGAAATAGTATTTTCAATGGGAAATTAATGTAGTTCTGTTCAGTAGTAGATCCATGGTTGTCAATAACAATCCAGTTTCTAATATCTTGGCTTAAAACAGAATCAGCAACATGATTATAGAATTTCTGAATTTCGTTCTTTTGCTCTCCTAGTTCAAGATATTTTCCTCATAAGTTCTCAGTAGATTTATCAGAATATCATAATACTTTATAAGACACCCAGAATCAATCCTACCAAAAAAAACTCAAAACAATTACATACCTACTTATAATATATTTCCAGTCGACTTAAGTCGTAGGGGTAAGCTAACTTTTCTAACTCCTTTTCGACATTTTAACTAAGATTTACCCATCTATTCAAGAAAGACAGTTGCACCAAGCTGTTCACAAACAGTCAAAACACAAGTAATGCGCATGGGATTATGCATTAAAGCTTAACAACACATTAACAGTGTAAAGATTGCCGTTTGATATTTATTTCTAATATAGCTAAAGCATTACTTGACAAAATATACGTTATTTTACAGTAGATTTACCTCATTTAAATGTGTGTGTCTATTTCACAAAAACCTTAAGCATTATTTTCAATATTTTATGCTTACGGTATCGTGGTTGTTTTCGCTGGTTGTCATTACTATGAGCAGTAATAGAGATCCGTTTCGGGAGGGAGCGAATGTTAAAATTTTTTCTCAAAGTGGAAGTTTTGACAACCAAAATCCGCCATTACCGCCATGTTTTTGACCACGGGGTCCAGGCCCCTTTGCCCCTCCAGGTCTTATAGAGCTCAATGGGCACAACATTCAACACAACATTCATCACAACATTCAACACCACATTCAACTAAAATTTATCATTCAAAATGATAAATCAAAAAATCGTCTTTAAAACACGTTTTCCATCAAATACAACAGTAAAAAATAATTCTTAACTGTTTATTACTATTTTACAGTCCTTAAACATCACAAAAAATGTATAAAAGTCAAGAAATTGAAGAAAACACTAAGATTTATATTACAGTGTACTTTCCATTTCTCTTAAATAGCCTATAATTTAAAAACTACACGGTAGAATTTTTTTAAACTTGGCCAGAATATAGATAATTATATTGTCTAAAATATATCCAAAATCTGGAGGTGGCACAAAAATAAATGATAGAAAATCATCGACAAAGTCGGATGACACGAATGCGCGTAATATAATCTTATATAATTAACTTCCTATATCCATGTAATTTTTCAAACAAAGGCCTATAAATAAAAACTACACGGTAGAATTTTTTAAACTTGGCCAGAATATAGATAACTATATTGTCTAAAATATATCCAAAATCTGGAGGTGGCACAAAAATAAATGATAGAAAATCATCGACAAAGTCGGATGACACGAATGCGCGTAATATAATCTTATATATTTAAGTTAAAATTCCGGTTCTTTAACAAACAAAGCCTTATAAATAAAAACTACACGGTAGAAATTTTTAAACTTGGCCATATTGTAGATATTCTTATTGTCTATAATATATCCAAAATCTGGAGGTGGCACAAAAATAAAAGAAATAATATTCCTTGAGAATGTACTCTGGTATAAACCGAAGTTGGCACCACATTCGACAAACAGCTCTATAAATAAAAACTACACGGTAGAATTTTTTAAACTTGGCCAGAATATAGATAATTATATTGTCTAAAATATATCCAAAATCTGGAGGTGGCACAAAAAATAAATGATAGAAAATCATCGACAAAGTCGGATGACACGAATGCGCGTAATATAATCTTATATAATTAACTTTTATAATCCGTTCTTTAACAAACAAAGCCTATAAATAAAAACTACACGGTAGAATTTTTTAAACTTGGCCAGAATATAGATAATTATATTGTCTAAAATATATCCAAAATCTGGAGGTGGCACAAAAATAAATGATAGAAAATCATCGACAAAGTCGGATGACACGAATGCGCGTAATATAATCTTATATAATTAACTTCCTATATCCATGTAATTTTTCAAACAAAGGCCTATAAATAAAAACTACACGGTAGAATTTTTAAACTTGGCCAGAATATAGATAATTATATTGTCTAAAATATATCCAAAATCTGGAGGTGGCACAAAAATAAATGATAGAAAATCATCGACAAAGTCGGATGACACGAATGCGCGTAATATAATCTTATATATTTAAGTTAAGAATTCCGGTTCTTTAACAAACAAAGCCTTATAAATAAAAACTACACGGTAGAAATTTTTAAACTTGGCCATATTGTAGATATTCTTATTGTCTATAATATATCCAAAATCTGGAGGTGGCACAAAAATAAAAAGAAATATTCCTTGAGAATGTACTCTGGTATAAACCGTGAAGTTGGCACCACATTCGACAAACAGCTCTATAGCTAAAAACTACACGGTAGAATTTTTTAAACTTGGCCAGAATATAGATAATTATATTGTCTAAAATATATCCAAAATCTGGAGGTGGCACAAAAAATAAATGATAGAAAATCATCGACAAAGTCGGATGACACGAATGCGCGTAATATAATCTTATATTATTAAGAATTCCGGTTCTTTAACAAACAAAGCCTATAAATAAAAACTACACGGTAGAATTTTTTAAACTTGGCCAGAATATAGATAATTATATTGTCTAAAATATATCCAAAATCTGGAGGTGGCACAAAAATAAATGATAGAAAATCATCGACAAAGTCGGATGACACGAATGCGCGTAATATAATCTTATATAATTAACTTCCTATATCCATGTAATTTTCAAACAAAGGCCTATAAATAAAAACTACACGGTAGAATTTTTTAAACTTGGCCAGAATATAGATAATTATATTGTCTAAAATATATCCAAAATCTGGAGGTGGCACAAAAATAAATGATAGAAAATCATCGACAAAGTCGGATGACACGAATGCGCGTAATATAATCTTATATAATTAACTTCCTATATCCATGTTTTTCAAACAAAGGCCTATAAATAAAAACTACACGGTAGAATTTTTTAAACTTGGCCAGAATATAGATAATTATATTGTCTAAAATATATCCAAAATCTGGAGGTGGCACAAAAATAAATGATAGAAAATCATCGACAAAGTCGGATGACACGAATGCGCGTAATATAATCTTATATAATTAACTTCCTATATCCATGTAATTTTTCAAACAAAGGCCTATAAATAAAAACTACACGGTAGAATTTTTTAAACTTGGCCAGAATATAGATAATTATATTGTCTAAAATATATCCAAAATCTGGAGGTGGCACAAAAAATAAATGATAGAAAATCATCGACAAAGTCGGATGACACGAATGCGCGTAATATAATCTTATATATTTAAGTTAAAATTCCGGTTCTTTAACAAACAAAGCCTTATAAATAAAAACTACACGGTAGAAATTTTTAAACTTGGCCATATTGTAGATATTCTTATTGTCTATAATATATCCAAAATCTGGAGGTGGCACAAAAAATAAAGAAATAATATTCCTTGAGAATGTACTCTGGTATAAACCGTGAAGTTGGCACCACATTCGACAAACAGCTCTATAGCTAAAAACTACACGGTAGAATTTTTTAAACTTGGCCATAATGTAGATATTCTTATTGTCTATAACATATCCAAAATCTGGAGGTGGCACAAAAAACTAAATGATAGAAAATCATCGACAAAGTCGGATGACACGAATGCGCGTAATATAATCTTGCATGTGATGAACAGTTGTTTTTATTTTGTTTTGTTGTGACGTAGCGCGTGCATTTCACGTGATTGAAATTTTGGGATTATCACAGAAGGGGGGAGTGTTGTTGAAAATAAAAGAATTCGAGATGTTGTTGTTGTTGAATAACGTAGTGTTTTTCTTTTGACGACTTCGTTGTAAAAAATAACGATTTTATCATGCAACCTGCATGACATTGCATATTTAAGTTAAGAATTCCTGTTATTTAACAAACAAAGGCCTATAAATAAAAAACTACATGGTAGAATTTTTTTAAACTTTGCCATATTGTAGATATTCTTATTGTATAAAATATATCCAAAATCTGGAGAGTGCACAAAAAATTTATTAGTACAATTCACTTTTTACTAAATTGTTTAAAAATAGTAAACTCTGTTTGGTTGTTAGTACCAAATTAATTATGCAGTGACGTAACAGTGCTGGTTATTTTTTTTGAAAATTTGTTCTAGTTGCTCATCGCTTTAATTTTTCAAAATTTAGTGAATGAAGTAAATGACTTGTTTTTGGAGTAGTCGTGACCAAGTATTACTTTAATGCAGGACCTTTACGTCACGGTATAATTAGACATGTGCATTATTTATATTGTATTTTTACAGACTTACTAGATAATTACTTTACTTTATTATCTTATAATTAGAAATCGGCTATTATTTACCACAGTATTTTCCTTTCTATCGCAATTTTTTACGTTGTTGACACGATCAGAATATCGATTAACAATTTCAATTTTTCTGGAAATGTTCCTCTTGCATTCTGAACTTATATGAAGTTACTTTATGCCCGTTTCCGCTTTCTTAACACGTCACTTGTAGCTAAATAGAAATGCAGTTATTCATAGATGATTTAGTATTCTCAATGTATTCTCACAGGTTTATAATGCTTTAGTATATATTTTTTTACAATTAAAAATCAGCACTTACAATTTATCAGCACAAGTCCTCATTTTTGTCTTCCACAGTATGTTTTTGTTGATGTTGAAGAATTTAATTGTGTTAACAACGGTTACAATTGGAATATCCATGGAGAGATTTTTTTCTGAAAATGTTATTTATGTATACTGAAAGTAAATGAAAATACGTTATTGCAATAATTGTTAGAGACTTGAATTTGGTTTTCGGCAGATTTCAGCAATTACGTACTTGGCTTAATTAATCTGCTTTTACAGGTACATACCAGTAGTTTGAGGCACAAGTGGAAGCGGCTATTTTGTGCTGATCATGACATCAACGAACGTCGAAATCTGAAAAGATTTTACCATAAGACGTTTGTTAAATAACTGAGCGTGTTTTAAACATTCGTTACGAATACGTACTTTGCTTATTTTTGCTTCTCCAATCGATGCTTGCATTTCAATGGTCAGAATACACACAATACATATGTAATCAGCGGAAACGCGATTGCTCTATTCCAGTTTCTAGGCGAAGTGCCAAGTAAAACGTTGTTTCCATTCTTTTAGAATTTATAATTACAATTTTTTTGTGCTTTTCATTGATTTTAAGTGAATGGCAATAACATGTTCATTTTCACAACGCTGAAAGGAAAGCTGTGTTGAATTTTTTTATTTATTTCGCATGCAATAAAATATGGCTGGCGATGGCCTATATTGAATATATCTATATGTTATTTACATGAATGTCATTTTTTTGTTTGAGGCATTTTGTGCCTTAAATCGTACATGCGTGGATAAAAAAAATCGCTTCGTGATAGATATGTTGAGAGAGAAATACGTGCATTGCATATTAAGTCTTTATTGAAAATCTGCATGCCGTATTTCTCTCATTGTTTTTGAAAAATGGGTTAAGATTTGAGAACAGGGCCGAAACTAGAACGCTAAAGATCGCTAACAAACAAAATCAGTCGGACAGACCTGAATATACGAATATTCACCCCAAATGGACGTTTCATTTTCGGCCCTGTTTAAAAATTCCTAACTATGCTGCGACAGCGCGTTCTGTCAGTTTGAAAAACATCAAACATGAATAAAGCAGCAACAGCGCCAAATGAAATTGCGAGAACTTTCCAAATTTAGTGGGAAAGTTCTCGTTATTTCAAAACAAGTCGCTCACGTTGCGCATTCCTCGTAAGCTGCTAGTCGCGCATTGTAATTCTTACAGTGACTGATTCCACACATCACTTTTTCTTTGCTACAAAACGTTTTTCAATATCGTTTTTCAATTCACGTATTACTTCCTTTTCATTGTAATTAATAGCTCTTTCTATGCACTCCACATTGCAAGAGCATGTAAGGTAATTGCTGTTTTCAATGTCATCTCTAGTTGAGACGAAGCATGTGTATGTACCCTTAGTATTTGGTGTTAACTTAAACTTATGTATTTGCTGACGACCTACCACTTCAGATTGATGTCGCCAAATGAATTTTTTTTTCCTTTTGCTAAAGTACTGCAGTACAATAAAACTTCACCTTCAACATATTGTCGGTAGACTTCGGCAGTGATACACCGCTCTTTGCTCCTAATTTGTCTGCAAATTTCATTCAGTGTGTTGTCTTTCCTACCAATCAGTAACTCTCCAGCAATTTTGTTTCGGATGACAGTTATATCTTTTCTAGATGGGTTGAAAAACGCAAGCCCTAACAGATAACTGCAATACATTAAAACATACACCCCCACAACTGAAAGAATCTTGCTGGTAATTGAATGATTTCTCCCATATTACCTCAAAATTCTCAACTAGAATACGATTATTTATGATTACCTCGCATTTCCTTCGCCATTTGAGTGCAGCAGCAAAGAAGAACTTGATCAGTTTTACTGCTGTCTCGTTTTGCATCCCCTGTTTCAATGGGTCGTAGTAATGGATAGAGGTCTTCCAAATATCAATGATCATCACAGTCCAATGACCACATTCGTTTTCGTTTATTGGAATAATGACGTAGTCGTAGGTTTCGAGTTTGTAATCACTTTTCTTTTCAAACATCATTCTTACTAACTTCTTTTCGTCAGCGCGTTGTACCACGCAATGACGAAGCCTGGAATAGAAAAGTGTGTCGAATGCGAGTACACGGTTTCCATTCTCACGCGCAGCATTGACAATCAAATGAGTGTAAGCATTTATTATCTTATCATTCAACCACCCAGTATGTTTTACTGAATAAGTCTGGTTTAATAGTGGTTGCTCTAGAGTCTTGAAGTCTTCCCTTTCAGTTCGTACCCATGAGTTGCGTTTAAACAAATTGTTTTATTCTTATTGAGAACGTCGTAAAGTTGTTGAATTTCCTTCCAGCGTACTTCATTACTTTGTTTTCCTGGTACATCATATTTATAATTAGGTGACTCATTTTCTCGCTGAACATTAGCCTTTTCCTCGAACGTCTCATTACAATTCCCTGTTTCATCACCTTTTTCAAACTCATCTAATCCACAACCAGAACTTATCTGCGAAATATGAGCAAAGCCGTTTCCAACTTTTGTGAAAAAAGTTAAATATACTGTTTGTTGCGCTAGCAATTGCCACTCGCAAGTCACGTCACTACATCTGGTATCATCAATATGCAAAACTTTATTGTCATTAAAAATGAGAGCAGTATAATGACCACTTTGCACTCGCGAACCATGATGAAGAGCACAAGCACGAAGGTTGTAGTGGAAGGACTCTGGTCCTATTCTTAATTGATTTGGTAAATTTACGATCGCCTGATTTTTGCAAATACGTCCATTACCAAATTTGAATCTTGCAAAACATATAACCAGTGTTTCGGGAAGAAATATGAACTTTCGGTGTTGGAAATGATTTGTTTCTGACTTACACGAGCTGCAACAGGCATTTACTGTGTCCTCCAAGCAATTTCTAATAGCATTTTCTAAATCATCTATGCCGTTGCGTGGAGATACAATTAATGAAGTTTGTGTTTCGGGCATGCTATCTTCGAAATTACCACAGGACATGCATGTTTTCCTGGTTTGAGTGCCAATGTTGAATGCATCGCCGATGGCCGTTTCCTTTGTGTTGGAACACAGCCTTGTGAACGCTTCCTGTACGTCACATTGCTTGCCCAATGGAAAATTGTGTTCTTCTGTAAACGCGTTGTGGAAGACAGATGGATAAAAACTTGATCCCGTGCTATAATGCATCTCTTTCATGCTTTTCCTCAATGCGTTTGAAAGAGCACAATCAATTTGTTCTTTAACGTTTTCTTCTGTTTTACTTAAGAAAATACGTCTGATGGGCAAGACATACAAACATTGCAAAAGCATTAACCCAACAAGAATTTCTTTTGTTGATTAAACCACAGAAATTCTTACTTTGTTCTAGCAGTTTCAGGTCATTTGCTTTTGTTAAGTTGTGAATTACTACCTCCTTGCGACATTGTTGTTCTTTTGGCATTATTTTTTCCTCTTTCCTGTTTTTGTGCTGCACCGTCCATTCCTTTCCACATCCATTCGGTCCATTTTTGATCTCCTGCTCTCTTTCGCTTTTGACAAACGTTTCTTGCGCTTTATTTTTAGCTTCCTTTTTCTTCGACATGGATCAAGGTGTGCTTTGTTACGCGTTTTGTCCTTCTTTATCACCTGACCATCTTCATGTTTATTTTCTGCTAAATCGTCAATTTTCATCTTCGTAACTGCCACTTTGGAATAGGTACTATCTGCTTCGTTCTGTTTGTACGTCATATCACTCATAAACTTTCTTTTACCTGGTGAACTTCGCATCAATGTTGCATCTCTGTCTGTTTTATCAAGCAGCGTTTTGCTTTTGCTTTTATTTTCTTTAAATCTGGAGTTACACTCAGTGGAATTGATGGTGATTGTTGATACCTTCCAAGCTTTGGATTCTGCTTTGAGTTTCCGGATCTTTCTTACCCCATCTCTCTTGGCTTGTGTGATATGTCATTTCTGGCAAATCACTATCAGATTCATTGTTGCTCTCAGCGATATTCTTTGTCCTCTTTTCATACCTTCTCTTTTCTGTTTTTCAAGTAAACATGCAATCCATCACCATAATTTCGCTCACGACGTCGTATGCGCTCATAATTTTGCAGTACAAATACGTCAGCTCTTAACCGTCTTTTTCCAGGGAAGTCTTCCTGTTTGAGATTTCGCATAGCTCCTTCTATAGCCTTCAGTCTTAGCGTTTGCCGATGTGAACGACAAAAACCTACAAGAGCTACTTTCTTGAATTCCTCCGTTCTCCCCGTAGCGTGTCATATCTCCTAATAAAACACCAGACCACAATGCCATCTCACTCAAATACTTTGTAATGAAGCAGAGAAATTTGGGACAGTAGGAACGATTCTCATTTCCTGGTGATTCGCAGGAATTTTCTGAATCCTTCTCAACACATCTTTTAACTTTCCCAACGATGGTAGAAAAGAAATCGACAAAGGGTTGGAAGATGGGATCACTACACTGTTCTCACAGTCGCTGTAATCCAAACTGGTGTAATTGCTTTCCTTCTGAAATTCGGAAATGTTTACAGAACATAATTTGTCCATGTTTTGGATGCGTGCATTAACTCTTGCATATGCGTTCCTTAACACCGTTGTTTGCTTCTTGCTGCATAAGCATGTAATAATGTCTTCTAAAGTCGTTTGAAATTCGTGTAGAGTCCTGGCATTCACAAGCAAGGACATGGCGTACATGTTGAAACGATACCAATTTTCTTCTTTCTCCTTAAGTTCGTCTCCAGGCCGTACAAATTTTTCGGCAGAATCCAATTTTTTGAGATACCTGTGAACAATGTGCATGAAGTGACTACATCCAACATGAGGTATTGTAAGAGATAAATCATTGTCAAGACTTCTTCCATTGACTATCCTGAAAGCTCTCTTGAAGAATGCAGCCATTGATTCGTTATTGAATTCCTGCAAAACTGCCATTAACAAAGCCCTTGAATAGTCTGTGTTTACCTGCCTTGGAGATGATAGATGCCCTCTATAACTTTGATTCATCTCGCCGAAATCTTTCTAAAAATGAGCGAATATTTCCCGTTGTATGATCCGAAGTAATCATTTCTGCTACTGGAAACGATGGTTCATTTTCTACTGGATGGCGTATTACTAATGCATAATAAAGGACGCGCTTCCCGTTGTGATCAGCAACCAATGTTCCTGTTGCGTCAAGATAAGAAATATCATCCTTGCACCTATCGTGCCACAAACGCACTTGATTCTCTATCCACATGTGAACGATGAGAGGATACATTGCAATAGTATGTACGAAACCATCGTGGGCTTTTGATGGTGGAAATTCGCGTGCAGTTTCCTTTTCAACAAGCGTTCTTCTTATTTTTTCCAGAGAGCATGAAAGGTCTTTATCTTGTTGCAACAACTGTTTTCCTTCACTTGAAATTTTTCTCATTGTTTCAAGTTTATTGCCACAGCCTGTTCTATTTCCAGATGCCATTGCATCAGGGAAAACATCCAGTTTTCTCTTCTGATACATAACGGATGGCTTGAAGGCCACTGCAGAATTCTTCCCTGAGTTGAGCGCGTTCTTCTCCTTTAATGGGACGAGATTTTCTTTCACCATTTGTATGTTTGATGCTACCAGTGTATTTCACATGAACAATTTTTTGATGAAAATCATCTTTGCTCATTGCGAGAGTAAAGCGGCACGAACAGTCTTCAAATATACATCGACCATTAGCTTTGAAATAGATTTTGTAACGTCGCTTACGTGAGTTTTGTTTCTGAACATAATGCCTGTCGAAGATGAAACTGCAAAATGGATTAGATAGTTGCAGGTGTCCGGCAATTATCTTAGTCCAATTTTTTTGAAGGCGATTTGGTGATACATACGTGGGTACCATCTGCGACCATTCATCCTGACTTAGTGTAAACGATGCTTCTGATGGACATTCCGCAGTGAAGAATGAATCAAATGTTAGTTTTGGACAATCCATCATGCGACCT